TACATTCAAGACTTGTACACATTTTACAAAGTGAGTCAATGTTTATTGTCACCAGTAAAAACAAACAGCACCTTACACTTTTATTCTTTCACTTCGTTTTTAACCTCCCAAATCTTTTCAAAAATGTTCACTTCTTTAAAAAAAAACATGTTCTTTCTCACCTCTGATTTCATTAATCATTAGGATCATGCTTAAGAGTATTCTAGAACATCTTTACTTCTGAGCAGAAATCCAACTTGAGAAAGTAAATCAAATCCAGGGAAACGCAACTCAAAAAATGTCACAACAGCTTTGATCAGTTGAAGAATATCAGAATGACAACACCTGCAAATACTGTACAGTACCACAAAGACAATACAATATATCAGCCACGATGTATCTGTGTGCTGCAGAAACCTTGAAGATCCATGTTGTGCCAGTTTGTATAGTGTGACAGCTGGTGTTATCTCCAGCATGCAGGTACTAGTTTACACTCGTGGGACAAAGACAAAGCACTGCTGATGCTGCATTGATAAATATATCAAAATTGCATAGGTATTATAAAGAAAAACAAATTAAACTTCAGCTTCTTGTTCCACAGCACTTTGGCAGCGATGGTTTCTGCAGGACATGTTAAACATAAAGCTGTTCTGTGCTTCTCATATTCGTCCAATAAAACCACAAACACTGTGTTTTTGGACATTAAACCTATGTTTCTATGACTGATATAGCAATACCAATCTGATCCCACAATTCTAATGTTATCTTTCAGTTTCACACATTCCTTGAACACTAAAACATGCTACTGGAAATACTAAGGACAGCATGTGCAACTTTATACAGTAAACTGTCAAATGTGTATCTGAATCAAATCCACAGATCACACTCTAGAGTGGATTTAGTAACACTTTCGCTTGGCGTAACTTATTGAAAAATGCAGTTGTAGAGCTGAGCAAAACACTTTGGCACACACATAAAAAAAAAAAAAAAATGTAAGAAGGAAATTATTTTAAAAGATTGTTTGGGCTCCAGTTTTCAGACTACAGCCTTCACCCTAAGATTCATGATGGAACGTTCAATGTTTTTTTTTTAGTGTTGACTTGTGCTAAAATGCTTGTTAACAGTCAGGTAAGCTCTGGCCGTGAATCGCCGAACAGTAATACTTAACAGAAGTGGTCACTGTGTAATCGACTACATTGCCTATTCATTGCATGTAGTGTGTCTGAATCTTTAGTGAGAATTGATAACATGGACTTACAACTCAATATTACTATTACTATGTAGTAGAAAACTGCCCGTATGCGTAGTGAATACATAAATGACAGATTCAAGTTTGTGTGGAATGCTTGACGATGACTTGCGTCACATGATTTACAATTGTATCTCTCAATAATTGCATTAATTCTAAGTTCCTTCTCGTGACCAATCAAAAACAAACACTTCAGTCGGACTATATTTAAAATACAAACTCGATGCAACAAAAGTGAACACACCTATCACTGAAACGATAGAGTACAACTGTGACTTCCAATCAGCCTAATTGAATGTACACGGTTCTAAAATGAACAGTGAACACTAAAGCAAGACAAATTGCTAATCATGTTTAATAAGCATAACATTTTCATGTGTCAAGTTTGTTTTCAAAGCTACATATGCAGCTATTATATGTATGAAATTGATATTTTCTCATGGATTTTTGAAGACAGAGTTTTTGGAACTTAGACAAATACAATTTTTCGGTTATTCCCCTGAGAGCTGACCGTTAACTTTCAAGTCCCATGAAAAACAATGCGTCCAATCAAATGCTGTTGAGCCAGATTCTCTTACGGTTACCGTAATTGACCGTTAAATGTGTACCAAAACTTGTGCAAACCCCTAAGAAATGAGTTTTCTTCAAGGAGATGACAAAAAGACAGCAGCTTGGCTTCTCTCTTGTTGGAAACTCACTTCATCCTGTATGAGTGCAAATGTGTTTGTAATACTAACATAGTCAATGTGGAACATGGGACTTGGGTCGTACATTTACTTTATTTTGCTGTATTTTTAAGGGAAAGTACTGAAGTAAATGTCATTTGGCAGCTCTTACAGCTTTATGTCTTCACACTGGAATGGTTTAGTAGTGGATTTCATGACTCATCAAGAAACACACACACCCACACACGCACAACTACTCATCGGTTGTACGAGGGCTCCATCAGCTGATAAAAGCATCTGTGCATCAGTTAGGTTCATCAAAGTGTCTGTTTGAGTTGTATCACATTATCTAGGTTGCGTCATATTTTGTATAATTGTCTCTTTGTGTGTTAAGACCTGAGTGGTGTGCTGTTGGCTTGTTGACCACACCACTCAGAACCGATTCAGTCCGTGAGGTGCAGCTCGTTTTTGTAAGGATTGGTCCTGTATGCTGCTCTCGTCTCAGCCCAGCCTCTGACCGCAGGACAGCAACTCAGGGTTTCTCTTCCTGAAAAACACAGAAATGCAGACACATGAGAAAGATGAGCTTCACTAGCATCTGTCTGATAACACTACAGCTGTTCTGGTGTAACGTCATTTATTTTGGGATACATTTTCTAGTTTGTGTAGCTTTTCAGGAGTCATGCTACATCATCTGTCATGGCCTCTCTCTGAAGTCTACACTGCGCTGTGGTTAATGCTACCGTATCGGGTGTGCACAGAGTCACAGTAATCCATGACTGGACTTTCATGAAGGACAAAAGCCTGGTGCACAGACAACACTCCCAAAAAAGTTGGTGGAGAACAGATTTGTAAGTGCCAGTGCATTTATTAAATCAATGTTAAAGGGTTATTTAGGAACACAGACTCTTATTTCTAATATTTACATCTGAGTAATTGTTTCATGTCAAATTTGATTTTATCAAACAATTCTGAAGGACAGGTATGTGGATGAGTAGCCACAAATTTTATTGTGACAACAGTTGCTCTAGTGCTGTTGGATAATGCTATTGATGCAACAATTTAGGTAAAACTGCAGTTTGTGTCTGCCATTCTTTAAGGCAAGCAGGTAGACATTTTTGTTACCCAAATAAATTACATGGGTATGTGGTGGGGGGCCAGTGGAAAGACCTGCATGGTAGACTGACAGGTGATTCTAAATCAGCACTAACGGTTGTCTGTTTCTTTGTGTTAGCCCTGTGATGACCTGGCAACTTGTCCAAGGTGTATCTAGCCCATAGACTGCATAAAAGATGGACGTAGCTATCGTGACGTCACCCATTGGTTTCTGTACTGAGAAAATGAAGCCAGGGTTTTGCTACTTCCTGGTTGACATCTTGGATTTTTGGAGCCAGTGACGCAAAAATCGTCTGAGGGGGGCGGAGCCATAGGAGCAGCGATTGGTCAGACAGATTGAGAGGCAGGCCCTCTCTGCCCGCCCACATTTACCGCCTTCTGCTCGCTTCATCTGCATGTCGCTGCCGACTGTCAATCAAGCCAGCCACGCCCCTTGCCCCGCAAAATGTTGACAATTTTTAAAATGGCCACCTGATCTCTGGATTTGACCATGAAAACTAATTTTAAAAAAAATCCTGAGCTGTAGGAATGCTGTATTTCTTGATCTGTGATCACTTCTTTTCCAATTCATGTCTATGGGAACCAGGGCTTTTTGGAGCCAGGACTAGCGGACATAGTGATATTGCAGGTTTTTGACACTTCTGGGTTGGCTTCATTTTTCAGGGCCGGTTGCTACGTCCATCTTTTATACAATCTATGATCTAGCCCCTCACCCAATGTCAGCTGTCATTAGTCTGACTTACCAAATGCAGACTTTCAGTATAATCCTGCCATTTCCACATGGCTTTCTCCACCCTTTGTACTATCTGTGTGTGCTACCATTCTCAGAATTCCCTTTGGTACAGGAAACAGTAACATTCCCTGTACAGCACCCTACATGCTGGAAGTAGCACATTTTGAAGAGGATTTGGATCAATAAGCCATTTTCATGCCAGAGCTCAACTCTCTGCATGCAAATGTTCCATCAAAACTATTTACTCACTGCTGTTTTGCAGGAAAACCTTTGTTGCATCCTGGGCTTAGCACTGCCTAACAACCATAAACCAATTACTAACAAGCCGTAGTTTATTCCTATTTATAGCAGAAAGATAGCAACAATGCCAAGCTGATAGGTCTGACTATGCAAGATTACCTACAGGAGAAAGCTGGTAATGCTAATTGGCGGAGAGACGGACTAAGGTTTGGTAAAATTAGTTTGTGTTTGTGCACCGACCTCCAAGATTTATCAAACAGATTTATGTTTATACACAGCTTTATAAATGTGATGAAAAGACAGCATCCCCATACTTCTGTGTTTATGGGTGCACAGAGTCATGAGTTCTATTTTCTGGTAACATATATTTCATGTGGAATTACAGTGGTGGCTGCGCCTTAGTAGCTCATTTGCAAACCATATAAGCTACCGCTTACAGCATCAGCCTGCATTCAAAGGGCCCTTTGTTGCATGTCATCCCCCTTATGCCTGTTCTGTCTCTGTCTACTGTTACTATCAAAATAAAACTATCTTTTAAAAAAAAAAAAAAGCCAAGTACTTTTTAAAACTGTGCCCCTCTGTCACAGGAATGTTACCTCTTTTGCAGTAGTTACAGTGCAGTAGTGCTGCGACATGGCATTTGTTATGGTATACTGACAGCAGGGGGCGCTCAGATCACGCAGGCAAACACACAGCTGAACCACCACCTATCACTGAGACTGTACAGGAGGTTACACTGCAGGTTTTAAATGTACCAAACAACAACATGAGTCAGGCTGCATGTAGCTGCGCAGTTGACAAAATACAACAAGCATCTTATGTAGGAACATTTCAAATTTGTTCTCTCTAGAGCTCCAGAGAAAAGGACCTCTGACTGTATCTTATTTAAAAAACAAACAAAAAAAACCCAAATAGACTGTGTTGCTGCCTGCATCTACAGCTTAAAGGTCCAGGATGGATGATGTTTGGAGACAAAGAGGAGAAGACTCGTATTTATAAAGTGGGACACAGTACCGCGAATATACTGAACCACCACTTGCTTTGAAGTTACCCATTAGCAGATAACTCAAAACTGACACATGCCGTTATTTAATTTCAAGTAGAGCGAATATTAAATACACTTTAAGTGCAAGATAGGAATAAACTGTAAAAAAAATAAATCAAGGCTGGAAAAAATGTGATTGGGGCCTAGAGGTAATCCAAACCCACACGCAGTGAAAATCAAATCCTTGTTTTCTTATTAGTTGTGTTTTATATTTCCAGTACCTGGGCAGCAATGCAGCAACCATGTCAGTTCCCTCGTTTGTTGTTGTTTGGGCATGCTCAGTATCAGCTGTCTAGAAAAATGATCGTCATGTGTTTCAGTTATCCTGCACCACAATGGAAGCAGAGAGGCTGAAAGGGCTAAGTAGGGGGTCGTTTCTGTTCACCGTTCACCTTGTGCCATCCCCTGAGAACCTGCACTGGAAACTGGCCTTATGGTACCTTGTGAGGCTGCACGACAGTTGTTAGCACCGTCGCTTCGCAGCTAGAAGATCCCCACTCTGCGTCCTGGTTAGGATGCCTGGGATCCTGTATGGAGTTTGCATGTTCTCCCTGTGCAGAGTGGGTTCTCACCGGACTCTCCGGCTTCCACCCACTTGTGCTTGTTTGTCTCTAAGTGTAGCCCTGTGATAGACTGGTGACCTGTCCAGGGTGTCCCCTGCCTTCACCCTGAGTCAGCTGGGATAGACTCCAGCGACCCTCGTGAGGATGAAGCGGTGTATAGATAATGGATGGATGGATGATTAGCGTGTGTTCTATGCAGACACACCACTGAACCTAGCAGAATGAGGACCAATTGGAGTCTCTGGTAACACTAAAGTGCTTCCTCCTAAGACTTTCTCTTCAAAGGCTAGCACTTCAGCTAAGTATTTATAGGATTGTCTTTCTCACAAGTAATATAATCTCGACACATCCTTTGCCAGTGCTGATACAACTCTTCATCCCTTCACTGACTCATGCGTCATGGACACACAAACACTGACAAAACACTCAGTCCCAGCAAGCAGACAGGAAAAGCCAAAAGCAGAAAAACAAATCTACGCAAACACTTGTACTGCATTCTACTGTGACAGACACTCCCCATCAGGGTGATATACACCATTCAGACAGTGTGTGCGCTTTGATGCACAAATCAGGAAGGTTAAACTTTTTTTTTTTTCTAATATGTGATCCTATCTCACACACACTCAGTGCGTCTCACTTGGCTAAGCCGACAGTCGCATCTAAGAACACGGATTAATCTGCTGTCAAGTATTAACAAATGAGAGAGCTCTGTATTAAAACTGGTTCCGTTCTGCTAAATATTGTGATGCTTGACTAGAAAAGCTGCTTTGAAAGTAGAAGCAGTGAAAACATGAGCTCTGGAGCTGTAAAATGACAAGTAGGATTATCTCTGTGTGTGTGTGTGTGTGTGTGTGTGTGTGTATTTGTACACTGCGGTAGAGATTGCAGACAACTGGGTTACACCTTAGAACAGTTTAAAAATTGTACTTATGCAGGAGTACGGGTATCTGTGTTTGCAATGGTAACAGTTTGACTGCCCACTGGACAGGTAAAGGGGCAAAGACGACACAGCAAGTGACGGGTCAAATACCGCAAGAGCAGGCCTTCTGGTAATAATGTTCGCTTTAGAGACAAATCACCGATAGAGATGTTCGGCCACAGTCACAGTAAACATGTTTGGTGCAGACCAAAGACAGCTTTCAGGAGAATACAGTAAAGCATGCTGGTGGAATGTTCTGTATGGAGGTTGTTTTTCTGCCTTAGAAACTTAACTATGAATTCTGTATTGTAACAAAGGGTGCTTGAAAATATGATGTGAACAACAGCCTGAGAGCTGAGGTTGACCTGAAAAGGGCCTTTCAACAATATAATGACAACAGGCTAAAGAAGAGTAAATCAGGGATTATGGAATTGACTAGTCATAGCTCAGAACTGAAACAGGCAGTGTATGCCATAAAACCTCTCGAACATCTTTCAACTGAGGAAATTTTGCTTGGAAGAGATGTGAACTAATTATAGACACTAATGGACAATTATTCCAAATGACTACAAGCAGTTATTTCTGCTGGAAGAGGAAACAGCAGGTTGTGAGGCCACAGATGAATATGACTTACACTGATATCTTAGTTAAGTGATTGAAAAGGCTAATTTTTCTGTTTGACGTTAAAATACGTCAAAAAGTCCAACAATTTCACAACGTAAAATAAGCTTGTTGCTCATTTCAAACAACAGTGTGATCATGCTCAGATATGGGTCCAATTAGCCCAAATTACAGATGACACCGAAAACTTTTGACAGTATTTGAACTCATTTAACATACTGTTGAAAAAAAAATGTGGATGGATACTACCACCCACACACTACGTTTTTCTTTTTTGTCTAACATTGTCAGTAAACATCCTATCTAAATTAAGAGTTTCATATTCCAACAGTGTAGCCACCACTCATCCTGTTGGTTCGCTCACTATGGAAGTCCTGACACTATTTGTCTTTTGGCACCATGCCGAGTTTCCTGTTGCTTTAATCCCAGTATCTATCTATTGTGGACTGAGATGGAACACAGACAAAGTTGAAAGGACTACAACTCTATCATCTATTGTTTAATTTTCTATTGTTTTAAGTACGCTTAGCCAAAGTATACTTAGAGAAATGAGGGAATTTGTGCAGTTTACAATCATTTTCAGTTTCTTAATAAATTATTAATGCTAAAAAAAAAATACTCAGCAAAAGTCTATGCCTAATGTCCTGTTTTGAAGATGAATAAATTATAAGATTAAAAACAAAGTGAACTAAACACAGCCTACACTAAGCATTCAAATCTCAATTAGCCAGGCTCATTGGGAACCCATGGGAGAGCTGGCTGTTACTGCTGCTTTGAGTGCTGGAAGTGGTGCTCATTTCCAATATGATCCACCTCCAGGCATTAAGTCACAAGGCAAGGTCTCAAAAAATGCAGACTACTGGAAATAAAAGAAAACAGAACATACGTTTACCTATGCTTTAAGCAGTGCATGTATATGGTGAATGAAGGAAAAAGACAGAGATAGAAAAGACCTGAGTATGACAGACAGGATGGATCTAAGAAGAGCTGTCTGCTATGGGAATTCAGTTTCATAGTATAAATTTTTTAAGGGGTGGGGGTGGGTAAAACGGGAAGTAGGGGCTGACGATGTAGAAAGGATGCAGCATTGAGTGGATATGGATGCAGGATATTTATATTCTGCTGTTCCCACTGCACAGGTTCTCGCTGTACTTAGAGAGGACAAAGAGAACATAACTTGAGCAAGAAGCTTCCTTGCTGCTTTCCCTCAGCACAGATGGGTTTTTATGTCCACCTGAATGCAACCTACAGTTAACAAAAACAGTTAGATGGACTATCATATTGTTTGAAATACAGATTCTGTCTATGTAGATGTTGTAGTTAATGACAATCATACACAAATAAACCAAAAAAACTAACTGTTGTCTGACAGTCAAAGAACAAATCAGTTATACTCAAAATAATGTGGAGGTGTAACAGTAAATGAACTTGTTTGCTGTTTTATCCCTTTTTAAGTATTCATATGGAGTGATTTGTAAAGCGTGGCCTACATTGCACAGACTGTAACGAAGCATCATAATACCAGTCTGAACGCACAGCTTTGAACAGAAAATGCAAAGAAGAACATCATCTGTGGTCTGTGGTAGCTGTGAATATGTTTAAAGATTTCTATTTTTCTTTTCCTAACGGTGCGATTCAGACGAAAGCCAGATATGCATCTATACATTGAAGGACGAGCACCAAGTCGGACTAAAAAAGCTACAATTGACAGTGTGGGTTTCTGAGTTCGTCTGTTTCGATTTCTGCATTGCCGCGACTCCACATGACAAAACACTTGAGTACGTTTGATTTGATTTGACCTGACCCAGTGGTGTTCAGACAACAACCTTGTGCTGAACACCAGCAAGACAAAGGAGGCCATTGTGGATTTTAAGAGGTCAGAGCATGCTCCGGTCCACATACAGGGGGAGGTGTGTGTGTGGACAACATCAAGTTCCTGGGCCTACACATCACATCTGAACCTGACCTGGTCCCGGAACACATCCTCCGTGGTGAGGAGGCTGAGAAGGGCTGGACTCTCCTCCAAACTCCTCATAAACTTTTACAGAGCCACAATAGAAACTACCCTTTGTCTTGGTGCTGCAGTGTGGTCCAGGAGCTGTACGGCACAAGACAGGAAGGACTTGGCCCGGGTGGTCAGAAGCCCAGGGAATTGTGGGATGTCCCCTACCTGATCTGGACTTGGTTTACGTTGGTCCAGTCCAGAGGAGGGCTTGTCGCACCATCACAGATCCCACCCACCCAATCAACAGACTGTTTGTCCCCTCAGGAAGGAGGTTCAGAGCTATCAGGGCTAAAACACAAAGACTCAAAGACAGTTTTCACCCTGGGGCTGTGAAAGCTATCTCCCCCCTGCTGACACGGACACACACTCTCAGGGCTCTCCCAGGCACACACACACACACCGCTCTTATCATACCACCCCCGCTGACACACACCCACACAAACACCTGCAGACACATGACACAGGTGACCCGCTACCACACAGTCCTGCCTTCACCCTAAGTCAGCTGGGATATGCTCCAGCCCCCCTGTGACCCTAGTGAGGATTGGTGGTGTATAGATAATGGATGGAATGATTCTGATTCTGATTTACCAACGACTAGTACAATGGAAAAATTACCATCATTAAATCATTTTGGAGAGATGTGGAGAAAGACTTTGTCAGTCATTGATCATTTTTCTTTAAACAGTCCTACGGTGGTGCATGTGATCTAAAGATCTTGCCTTGAAGTCATGACTCAATCAAGCCAAGAGAGTAAAGAGGATTTTTTTTTTTAGCCAAAGTTTGAAACTACCATTGATTTAAGAGCAGCTTGTTCTTAGTGATTCAGAACTGATAATTGCTTAAGAAGCCTATGGTGGATTTAAACTGGTAAATATTTCAAGAACTGGTCATTTACAAATAACATAAATTCAGCTGTCCACTTTATTACTCCCTCTGAATAAAATTGCTGTCAGGAAAGCGTCCGTTACCCCTAATTTAGTTTATAGTGAGACACCAGAATAAAAGCAGCACAAAGTGTAGTTTACACCGCCTCGGTCGTCAAGTCATGGTATTTTGCAGGTTGAAATGAGTCTTAGTTATTGTCTTGATACAAGTAAACAAAGACGTAACACGTAATGCAAAACGTCAGCCGGTCTAACAGGAAAAAATTACAGAGGTCCAGACCACAGGGCCCTCATAGCTACCGATGGGGCTGTGTACCGTCTGTAAATTCTGTGCACTGGATCTTTGAGGTCAATAAATAAGCACTGCAAAAACAACCACCCACTGATCTGTGTGACTGATTAGTGACACCCAGCGATAAATGGTCTGCACTTATAAAGCACTTTTCTACCTTAGTGGGACTCAAAGCCCTTTACAATGTCTTCTCATTCACACAAACACATTTATACATGCCATGCAAGACGCCTGTCTGCCATTGGGAGCAACTTTGGGTTCAGTGTCTTGGATACTTCAACTGTGGAGAGGCGGGGGATCGAACCACCAACCTTGCGAACAGAGGACAACCGCTCTACTACCTGAGCCACAACCGCCCAATCATTCTCAACATACCTTTGATGAGTAGGTCCTGGTGTGGCCAAGTTAGGCAGGCAGGTGTTTCCATGTGCTGACAAAGGCAGTGGGGATCAGTGAATAAGGCACAGTGGTGATGGAGTTCCAACTGTCTGATGTGGGGTCATAACAGTCCAATGTTTTACACCGCTGTGTCCCAAAATAACCACCAACCACATACAGCTTATTTCCTGAAGCCACGGCATGACAGCTCATCCGTTTCGACGTCATGTCACCCACACGAGTCCACTGATTGGTTTCACAGTCAAAGCGATAAGCAGAGGCAGCAGTGAATTCAGTGTCGCCACCCATAATAAAGATCTGGCTCCCCAAGACAGCAGCTGCCGTGTAGCGCCACGGTTGGGGGCATTCAGCTGCAATGTTCCATCTATTGCCCACGGGGTCATAACACTGGACCTAGAAATACAAATACACAAGATTATAAAAAAGCTACAATGATAGTTAAATGGTTCAGGTACAAAACCAAGGGTCCGTTTCACAAAGCAGGTTCAACAAACTCTGAGTCTAATCCTGAACTCTGAGTTGATCTACTCTGAGATGGGAAACTCTGAGTTTCTGGTTCCAGAACAGCGGGTTTGAGTTAGTTTAATCAACTCGGAGTAGTTTCACCTGGAGTTAGGCATGTGCACCACAACTATAAAAAGGCAGCATCAATGGAGCCCTGATTCTCCACCTACTGTGCCTGATGGACTTCTAATACAGCCGACTGACTTTGATTGTTTTAATGATTTTTGACAGGCGGCAGAACTAGGCTACGTCAGAACTCGCCTGTTGACTGAATGAGGAAATCAAATGGTGTGCGTGGCTGAAAGAGGGCGGAGGCAGAGAGAAACTCAAGGTTCATTGAGAAAAACCTGGTCCAGGCTAGGTTCATAGAGTCTGTTACTACGGTAACTGACCGAGGCCTTAAGTTAACTCTCTCTGTGAAGCAGGCTAGAGTTACCCCCGTCTCTGGTTTAAGTGACCTCTCTTGTCATTTCAGGGTTAACTAACTAATTCAGAATTTTCCCTAAACCTGCTTTGTGAAATGGAGTGTTGGTCAGTACTTCATGAAGACATGCAGAAGATGAATGTCAGGTGTGAAGTCAGGAAAAAATTCAAACAACAGTGTAGTAGCCTGTGCTAATTTAGATTCTATTGATTTTTTTTTCTACGTCTCTATTGAATCATTTAAGTAAAAGCACGAGCAAGAGGAACAAAGAACATTTTATAGGAAACGAAAACAACAACAAGAACTCCAAATACCGAATGCTAAACCTAATACATGAAACTGTCTTGGTTCAGGCATCACAATTTGTCAGTTCAACACTCAACTGCAGAAAGCTGCCTAAAGAATTGTGAGGAAAATAAATATGGCAAATCACTAACCTTGGAAGCCTTGTCTCTGTGTATGGTTGTCCCCCCAAAAACAAACAGCTTCAGTTTGGCACTGACCACGGCTGCATTGCTGACGCCATCTCTTAGAGGTGCCATCATAGTCCATTTATTGCTGAGAGGGTCGTACCGCTCTACCTATGAAAACATCACACTTCATGTTGGGTTTCATCGAAAAACTTAATGTGGAATTGAAAATACACACCATGAGATGTTTATGGCAGTTTGTGTTTATCTGGGTTTACGTTGGACTTGCAGTAATACATGTTCTTGTAATACTGACCGATTGTTTTATTTGTTTATTACTGTGTACTCCACTGCAGTGTGTGTGTATATATATATATATATTGAAGGGTCACAACTTTAGTTTTAAATTAATCAGGTCAATCTCTGTAAGTATTAATGCTGTAGGGTCTATTCCGTGTTATGTAATGTAGTCTGATAAATAGTATTTTAATTATGACAATTCAAATAACACACAGACACACACACACGTGGAACATATTGATGCCTGAGTATTGCACTGTTCAGTGTAGGATTTTCTAAATGAAATATATTGTATAGTTATCTGCTGACTCTTTGCTCTTCTGTGCTTACTTACATATCTTTCTAAATGTGATTTATAGCGCTGCATTAGATGTGCTGCAGCAGTCGTGCTAATGTTCTGCCCTCCCACTTTCTTAGATTTTACTTTACTACCTGCTGACACGACATTACAATAAATGAAATCAACAATTTCCCTGAGGTACCCTACCAAAGGGATCAATAAAGTTCTATCTAATCTAATCTATCTAACAATTTTCAGTAAGTGCTAAATATGGCTTTAATCCTGCAAATGCTAATTTGAAAATATCAGTAAAAATACAAAATGTATGCGACTGTAACTATGATAAACTAAGTGAGTGACTCCTTAAGTAAAGTGACTCAGAGAGAGCTGCTGGTAATGTGGTTAAAAAAAAGAAACAGTACTTTGTGCATTACAGCAATAATTCACTAGACAGCATAGAACATGTGCCTCACTGTACAGGCTTGGTTTTTCTCTGGTTGATGACGTATAGGTCTCAGAAACTCAGGACTCATGGGGTATAAATGGTGTTGGAAGGTTAAAGTCTAAAATCAGGGCTAACCCTAAACATTAAACAGTGCAATGATGCATAATGCGTCCGAGTTAAAGTTGAATGAGCATTTATAACTTCTACTGACAACATCAGATTATGAGCTGTATTTACATACTGAGTAATTCGCTTCAAACTGTTCATTTATTGGTAAAATTGGTACATTTTAATATTATTTTCATAAACAAGTTAATGATTTTCAGACCTGTTTTAGGGAGACAGATGGAGAGGCAGGGAAAACTCCGGCTATTGCTGTATGCCCTCCGACAACATACAGACTGTTTTCCAACTCAGCTGAACCATGGCCAAACCTGAAGAAGAGAGAATACCCACATGATGTGTATGTGTACTTAAGACAGTGCATGGCTTTGTTGACATTAACATTTCATTAAGCACAGTATAGTGTGGTCAACCTCACTACTGTATATATGGCTGAGGCACCGCTCTGACTGCAGCCGATCAGTATGTTTACATGCTCATTATTTTTATAAACCATGACCTACAAGACAAACTATCAGCTGTTGGAATGGCACTGCAGCTGTTCCATTGAGTTATACCCAATAATCATTTTATGGTAGAGCTACCGTTTAAAACAGAAGTGAGTACTCCTAGGCAATACCACCTAAATGTCAAATCATTCCAAAGTGCATTAGCTTAAAGTAAGTGCATTTAGTTCAACAACAGGGTATTTGTTCTTATGTGGAATTAAAAACAGTTTAGATTTACAACAAAAGCAAAAAACACAGACCCCACAGTAGAAACTCAAAGTGATTCCACTTGAGATTCAAATTATGGATTTTTTAAGTACCAGTATTTTATATGTCCAACTTTATTTTTAATAACAGACATCTCCAGATGGAGGCTATCAATGGTGCAAAAAGAAAAAACATTCTGAACCGATTTTCCACAATTCTTCAGAGACATTTTTTTCAGGTATTCTTGGCTGTGTTGCTTTACTTTTAAAAATACACCAAAGGCTAGAGTTAGGGATAGGTGTTGTTGGATCCAAATCTTCTTTACAAATGTATTCTATAAGTGTCATCTCCTCAGCACCTTTCGCAGCTCTATATCCTCTCACTCCCACCTCTGTGCCTTACTGTCAGAACTGTGATTTCATCGTGGTAGTCCTTGGTTCATGCCAGACACGCTGGACTCCATCTAAGCCAACAAATGTATCCTGACCAAGAGAATGTCAGGCTTCTTGTCATGTCAGAGTTAATGTAAAAGATACTATGGCTTGTCTAATACCTCCAATTACTGCCGCAATGGTGTTTCCTCAATTTTTAGAGGTCTCTCCTATCGTTTAATGGCAGTTTGTGAAGTGCCCCAATCAATACTTCCATTTCCCCCAACAATTCTTTTCCATGTGGAGCCATGATGCAGACATGCAGATAGACAGAACCCAAATATAAAAAAATTATTCAGTTCTACTGCACTGAGTTTCTACTTTGCAGCCCATATTTTCGACATAGTCTTTTTATAGTATTTGTTTTTGATTGTTCATAACAGGAAACAGTCTATTAGTGAACTTAGGATAATGCAATGTTTGGGAGGTGATACGTTTCCGAATCATTTGACTCTAAAGTGATACAGCACAGGGATATGGACTCATTCATGTTGTACTACATGTGACAACTCAACTATCTGTCAGGAGATTTGGTAAATAGTAACATGTTACAGCAGGAAAATGTTCACTCCTATCTGTATCTGATTGCTGGTTCAGTGTACTGGGGCAGTTGCTTCTAAATAACTCAGAACATATAGCTGTGGAGCTGCTGTCTCAAATAAACACAGTACATTAATGTATCATATAAGAAGGGCTGGAATGATTTGCAAACATCATCTATTGTACACTAAAATGATAAAAGTTTACCCACATGGATAATACTAGAATGAAGGATTTTGTTTGTTTTGGGCCACACACGTATACCACCACACATAGATGTTCATCACTTTACAAGAAAATGTAACGTTTAAAATGAATGTAAACTCTACTTGAACTGGAATAGAGCACAACAGTGGCTCGGTAATATATCTTCATCATCCATAGCCTACCTGGCTATCAGCATGGGAGCTCCTTTAGACCACTCTTCATGGACAGTATCATAGATCCAGACATCCTTCGACACTCCGTTCTCTGATCCTCTTCCTCCCGTCACATAAACCTTACAGCCGATGGCACATGCACTGAATTCCTTTCTGGGGCTGGGAAGGTCTGCTTTAGGTATGATCTCCTTGGCTTTATGGTCCACCTAAAAGGAGACAAACTTCACCTTACTTTAAGTGGTACGTACAGCATAAAACAAGAAATACTTTCGATGTCAGCCAGATTTATTATGTATTTAATGTAAGCAAAGTATTATTGTAAATTTTGTAGGTGAGGTCACTTTAATAATTGTGATTATGATCCTAGGCATCATCACACACTCATACATGGTCAACAGTTAGATTTAAATATCAGCTAAAAAAAAAAAAGTAGACTCTCCTGAGCTTTGCTTTGGATGGTTTTGATTACCGGTATATGGTGTGTGTGTGTGTGTGTGTGTGTGTGTGCGCATGTACTGGGGATATGTAGAGGCGTGGGTGCATATCTCAGTGCAAAATCTGCAATCTGATCTCAATAGTATATAAAGATAACTGATAAGGGTACACTGTGATTTAATGGCATTTAGAAACAACACAACTGATTTGGATTTCCTTATTTAAAAAATCTTATTTCCATCATTTTAAATTGTACATTAGAAGAACAACAGCAGAAAATCAGGCTGTGATAAATTGGACTGTTTTTGCTCGAGCTTAAGGAGATTTTCCGTTAACATGTTGCTTGGTGCTTACGTCAGTCTCTGAGTCAGTGTCTGAATCAGGTATTTTAAATGACACTGTATGAATAAATGTTCCTGTAAATTAAACAGCTCTGGATTTGGTAGCAATTTTGCTTTAATGGGAGAATACTGCAGCCAGTTAGAAGCTAGCGGCAACCTTCGGGACTGAACAAAAATGAAGTCAATGCGAAGTGCTAGAAACTGCACTTCTTTGCATTAACCTGAGGCCAACTCAAGCATTTCAAATGTGTTCAGGCTTAAAGTTATGTATAATTAAATGTGTGGCCACTTTGAGTGACAGGTGGGTGCAATCATAGGACAGTCTATAGCCCACCTCTGCTCCAGTTGGGGCAGATAAGCTCTTTTCAGACACATATTAAAAAAATGTAGTAATTTCTAATTACTTAATGAAGATACTGCTGTTGTTCTATGTGTGTAAATGTGCACAACTCTGTCTTGGGAAGAAGAAAAGATTCCTGCAAACAGTCTTGAAGAACAAACTAAACTCCAGCTCCCTTTAATGTATATGAAAATGTTCATAGCTTTGACCAAGTAAGATTGTTGTTTTGGCTTTTACAGAAAAGTGACCAGGGTGCTCGTTCATACACAAAGTCAACACACTGAGGTGCTGTCAGATTAATAGAAACAGGTGTTATACGTACACAAAGACACATCGTGGTCACTTTGACATGAGTGTCGACTGTTTTTCTCAATTTCAAGCAGAATTGAAGTGGGATGTGCGCTTCTGTGTCGATATAGTGCAACAGCTTGGACAGTGAAATCACATTTTTAATTTATTTTCCCGAACATATACCAGGAACAGGGTGGGTGGGTTTTAGTGCCTTGATGAAGGACACAGACATGTGAACTAGAAGATCTTGGAATTTGACCCCCTGAAATGCTATAAACCTCTGATTTGATGTTATAATTACACAGGATGATTCTTACAGCACTAGGCCAGTAGGACATCATAAATACAGACAATATGTTGTATTAGTGACTCATGCAACTAACAGAGTGAGACAAAGGCTTCTGGTAAACTCTTGGAATATTAAATTTTAAGTAAACACATTTTAGTTACGCAGCTCTTGTACAAATAAGAATTACACTTGACTATATATTATTATACATATACTTAAGCAGCTTTATGTCACAGATGAAAACAGTTCACCCAAACATAAAAGCCCATGTGTCTGTCTTTTACCTGATATATTTTGTCACACATGAAGGTCTGGCCTCCCAGTATAAGCAGCGTGTGTCCTGCCTTGCGTGGTCTGGCACATGGACTCGTCACCACTCCATCATTTTGAAGGATTTTCTTCTTACACTGCATTGCCTCTTCCACTATTGACCTGCAGAACAGAGGCAAAACATCATACAAGCGATAGCGACAAATCTGTTTATCCTTTTCAGCGAAAGAGCTTTATCTCATTGTCTGTCAACAACCACAGCTGCTTTCACGTCTGCTGTTAACTGTACGAGTGGAGGCAGCTGTGCAGGAGGCTTGGTCACATGTTACTCATTAGCTATTCTGCTGTAAATGCTCAGCTCAGAGTACACTGTGTTGCTTAGTCAGACTCGTTCCAGTCATTGGCATATTTTGTTTTTGTACCTCTCTGTTATTGCCATGCTGACTTCTGTTTGCTCTGTCTACAGATGACCTAACCAACCTCCTGACTCGGATTTCTCTGGAAAACAGCTCTGGATGCACGCCCATCTATGCATACGCTTCTATGGTTGGTCTGTTTACTCTGCTGGTACTGCAGCTGACAGAACACAGGTTAGACAACGGATTAACTACAGAGAATATTCAATCAGTAACTTAATTTCATTTTAATTTGGTAAAACATAAAGTCATATCGTGTGTTATGGTACAGGGTCAGATCTAAATGCACTTTAATACAATATCATGTTTAAATATATGAAGTTTAACAGGTAAAACGCACAGCTCACAAAAAAAACCCGCCACACAGAACAGAAAAAAAAATATAACACACACGTAACACAGTTCTACACCCCCCCCACAACATCCACAACAACAGCGTTTAAAATCACAAAATTTTTAATACCCCACAGTGCTCCACAATAAAAAAACACAAAAAAAAAAACAACAGCACACGATTGTGCCAAGAAGAACAGAAACACGAACAAGAAAAAACCAACACCCACATGAATACAAACACACTCAAAAAAAAAGGAGAAAAAAACCCTCAGATATCTCACATCTCACACAAACGCTATATTTTGTCGAGACCAAAAAAAAAAAACCCCAAATATCAAAAAAGCGCCGCCGCACACACTCCCCGGAACTCTTAGTTCATTGTGGCTCTTCACCTAAAATCCAAAGACTCTAACTTTCACGTTAATATGTGCTCGGCTTCCCAGCCTAACCACAGCAGATATGTTGTGTAAACTGTAACTGGACACAGTCAGTCTCACATTCAATAACACAGACTTTTTTCTTTCCCCTTTTAACCAAAGACAAACAAAACAAGCAGCTTAACAAACCCTGAATGTACTTGCAAGTCAATGAATTAAAGCTGAGTTGGAATGTTATCTGGAAAAGCAAGATAGTGAATGCTGATACATTCTGGTATGATAAACAGCATCGTAATGCTTGTTGTTGTTATTACTAAAGCCGTATATTGCTTGGGAAGTGTGCTTTGTTTTTGTGCTGTGATATGCATTTTTTATGACCTTTCAAGCCTATAGAATCCGTTGGCCTGGAGAGAGAGCAGACAGACTGGTGCCTCCTCTGATCCACCTGGAGTAACCAGCTGCTTTTCACAATGTGTTCACATTATCTGACATGACCCACCTTGTATATGTATTGTAGGGATTTCTATAAAACTACAAACACAATATATTGTAAATGGCCAAATATGTATATACAATTACTAATAATATTTTAAATGTGTGGCTTTAAATACTGTAATCTCTGAAATCAGGGAAGTAAAGAGACAGTTCATTGTGATTTATCTGATAGAGCTTACCTGCTCCTCTTGTCAGCCATAACCAGCTCTTCACAAGCTACAGCTTCCAGCAAACATTCAGACGGCAGCAGAGCCAACCTGATGCCCCTCAACAGCTCTGGTAAATGGAGACGCCGACCCTCCAAGTCGTATCGAACCCACCGCATCACAGAGTTAAACACAACCTGCCAAATTTGCAGTAAGACAGCCGAGTTACTGTTTGCTTGAAGGAGAGGAACTAAATATATTTGTAAAAATGGAATATGATCACTGTTTCAAATAACAATTGAAACTGACAGAATGAAAAAAAGAAACAGAATCACTCACCTGTTCATCTTCTATCTCCAGTTCATCACTAAGAATCAGCTCCAGCAGTTTATCTTTAGACAGGCTGTAGAAGTCCTCTGATTCTCTTACCTAAAGCACAAACACTTGGATTAGATGTATAATATGTAAGTCAAACACGTATTTTCTGCTATGTTTCCTGTTCAGATAATAATTAAAGGAATAAAGACGTCAACATACTGTCGGAAAGTAGAGGAACAGTTCTCCGGCATTTGTGGTGTTTGTAATTGGGAAGCTCAGCAACAAAACACTAAGTGCAAATTAAATCCTTGTGATGCTATATTTTAATGACGTATACACCACATCCCATTAATTAATCACTGCTACTTACAGAAAAGCACAGTCAACTAACAGCTAAGTGAAAGATGGAATCTGAAAAATAGTAAATAAAATATTTCCCGAATGCTTTTAGATCCACAAATGTAGCAAGTTTGTTTTCAGTTTTATCATCCAACAGTCTGTGTCTGTCTGTGTATGGCTGCTAAATGCTGACTTACATACAGTCAGCTTTATTGCTTTTGTGCATTTACAGCTATATTCCATGGAATCCTTGTAGCATTGAAGACATCTGTTCCACAAGTAAGAAAACCCTAATTTATAATCCTATTGACATTTATACTTAAGAAAATAACTTGTCCAGTACTTTTTAGAAAATGGTCTATTGGTTTTATAGTCTGGAGCTTTTTTTGTGTGTGTGATTTGTGTGTGTGTGTGTGTGTGTGTAATCACAAAATAATCATCATTTCACTTAATTTGATTTCTAAAATCGAGTGCTGTAGTGCAGTGGTTCTCAAACTGGGGGTCGGGACCCCCCTGGGGATCCCAAGATAATTTCAGGGGGTTGCCAGATCATTGTCAAAAAATAAAATAAAATAAAATAAAATAAAGCCTACATTTATCAAATAAATTTGTATTAGGGCTGTCAAAATTAAAAGTGTATACTTCTTCCCACTCCTTTTTCGAACTTGTTAATATTATGATTTTATAATGCCATATTATTATTATAGTTTTTTGCTCTTTTTAAAATTATTTTATTTTGTTTTTATATTTCTTCCCTTTCATTTGTTCGAAATAAATTCAATTCATTCATTCATTTAATAGAAAATTAACGTGTTAATGTAAAGAGATCAATCTGTGGAATTAACACATTAATTTTTAACACATTAATGCATGAACAAAAAAAAGTTGTTACTCATGCCATATTAAAAATTCAAACTGGGGGGTCATGAACCCAAACTTATGTTATCTTGGGGGTCGTGGCCCAAGAAGAACGACTGCCGTAATGGATAGTGACACAACGTTTATTCCAAGTGTACCGCAACTGCAACAAGGGTTTGTTATGTTAGCCTGCATGGTAAATTATCTGCTGAACATGGCGATGTTTGGGAGTAGATGACTGCTACTCAATGAGGTGATCAAGAGGGCAGAAAAATAAAAAACTACTTTTTCAGCCCTGAAAAAGGTCCAACAGGGCAGCTCTTGTTGTTGGAATATACACAAACATTTGCTCTAAAACAGCCTGCAAAGTCCTGCAGTGGAAAACCATCTAATGCCACAGAAGCAGGAACTTAGTAATTAGGTGAGTTTAAAAATATAAACAAGTCAGAAAAGTCTTTTTTACCGTCTCATAGTGGAGCAGACACATGCGCCATGACAGCTCGTATAGTCTTTTACACTGATGAGCGTCTGATAACAGCATCATCCCCAGGCAGTTGGAGGAATGCAGGTTTTTTTCTAGAAACTCTGCTGCTGCATCCCGAATGTCATGAAACTGCAACATGTCGCCCGCCTCTAACAGTGACTCGGCGTTCTCCTCGTTTATGATGACTCGAGAAGAATAGGCAAAGTCCAGCAGAAGCTCCAAGACCTAGCAGAGTGAATGGATAGTTAGCAACTGACATCGCAATCTCAACAACAGTTTGATACAGCATCTAATTATAATGGTTCTGTGAGCTCAAAGGAAATATTTTCATATCTGACAATGTCCCGTGCCCAAGTTGCTCATACTTTTCCTCAATAAAATAAGTTTAATGTTTTCACATATCATGAATTTATAAATGATCAGAGATATACAGCCAATGTATCTAGTTCCACAAAGATGCACTGTATGATACAATGAAGCATACTATCTTATCCTTTGACATGCATTAAAATGTGGAGCCTAACACAACATTTGAGGGAGACTTTGGGGATCTTAGTCAGCACTGACAACTGAACATGTGTTCTGAGGAGAACCGGTGCCGTTTAAAGGTAAACAGTGCTCACACTAAACATTGATTTAGGTTTTCACTCTTTACCACACTTTTTAAAATTAAGTTCACTGATAAATAAATAAAAGCTATGCTGTGGTGTTCTCTAGTTCTGTAGGTCTCACACACACAAAGGACACTATTATTTTGAAGGGAGCAGGGGTAAGGTTTTCCGGGTCGTGGGAAAGCGGATGTTGTATAAAAAGCTACGAACTGTGAGTGAGTCTTGCTGGAAGTGGAGTCAAATAAAGGAACAGAGACTCAAGCTCAACTCTCGTCTCTCTTTTTGTCGACTTCCACAATGCGTACAATAATTATTGAAATCATCCTTACTTTTGTTTTAGTGTCTAAAGTTAGCATAGTACCGTACATCTCCACCAAAAAGACATTTCAGTACAGAAATCTTTTTGGTGTCACTATTACACAGACTTTCCAAAAACTTTCCTAGGGATGAAAAATCTTTTGGGAAACTAAATTAACCAAACTTGCATTTCAACCAGAGGAGCCTGGGATTAAATTAGCTTCTGAGGGATAGTTCTAGATGTAAAAAAATAGGACTTGTTTTTATGGTTCAGGAACTATTGGGACAAAGTTTAAAGGACTGAACGTGTGTGCTTGGTCAAACACAGACCTGGCAGCAGCTTCACTTGTGCACTACTCCATTCAGAAAATGTGAGTGTTTGGTGCCACTTGTATTAATATAAGTAATGTTAATACAAGTGGCACTCGGTACTGACATAAGTAATGTTCAATAGCAAATGTAGAAACATGGGAGGTAGTGTAGGTTGAGAGCATGAGTAGAAGAGAGAGAAAGGGAGCTGCATCAAGAGAGGAAAGAGAGACAGAGAGAGCGAGTAGCAATGAGAAAACAAAGCAAGTGAAAACACATGAAGCAGAAAAAAGTGCATAGTCAGCAGTCAAAAATAATTATCTAACAAAAACTATAAATCACAGGGTAATGTCCTGGTGGCCATGGAGTGAATCGTTCATTCAATTCAGTTTTATTTACATAGTGCCAAATGATAACATATTTCATCTCAGGCTACTTTACATGGTGAGGTCGAGACTTTAAAATATTATGGCGACAGAGTCAATAATTAGCAATTTGGATCAACTGAAAATCTTTAGTGGAATATCCTAGTAATAAAGAATCCCAATAGTCCAGCCCAATGTTAACAAATGCACAATTTTTTTCTAGAATCACACTGAAAGGACTGGGCAGGTTAGGAAGGACATCTAGGGTAAGTATATTGTGTGTTTCTAGGTGTTCCGTGCTTGTTTGTTTTTTTAAAGGCACTGACCCTGAGGTGGTTCATGTCTTTCTGTCACAAAGTTAAAGCATTACAGAGTACAGGCTGCTAATTCCCCACCCTGGACTCCATTTACTGTACACATAACGTATCATTTCATGAGCAGTCGGACGTTTGCTTTATTGCACTTGTGCTCTTGCTTTTGCAGTGTTGTTGTATGCTGTAGATCATTACAGCCATTCTCTCTTCACTGAGCTCAACTCCACCAGCCTAGCTGTGTTGTAACGAAAAAGTGTGACTTTAAAACACGACACACCACCCAAACAACATGCACTTTAACCTCTCAAACACAGAGAAGTTTTATTATTCAACAGGAACTATACAGTAGAGTAGTTGTCGGTGACAGCAGCTGTACCTCAGGATGTATACTGTCTCTGAAATTGACATCACTGTCCAGGCTTTCTCGTAGTCCTCCACTGAACATTGCCTCAAAATAACGACTGCATGCCGCAAGGACTGCCCTACAGGATCCAAACACAGCATCAGTGTCAGTGAAGCTCACAGGTTCAGAGGTTATAAAACACAAGATAAAGTCAAATGTATCTATACAAAAGTTTTTTGTGACCGTCTCCATTGAAATGCACCGTCAGTGTAGGAGGAAGACCATACCTGTGGCACGGGAAAGAACGATCTCCGGCCCACAGAGTGACATCAGTGAACATGCACTGTTTCCTCATCGTGTTCAGGTGGGTCAGAACACTGTCGGGATGGGAAGGCTTGTGGAACAGTGAGATGTTCATGGAGCCTGTGCTGGTGCGGGATTTCCGATTCTCATGAACAGTCACCGACATGGCAGCTCCGTTTGGTACCTCCAGTGAGTCTCTTGAAGCAATCTCTCCTATTTCAATGACAAGGACAGGAAAAGGAAAACAGTCACACAGTTGGCTCAGCAGCGATTATACTATATGGATGGATGAATACATTTTAAGTGGTGAACACCTGTGTAATTTCACTTAAAAGTCAAATGATTCTAAATGGTATCACCTTACAGTACTCAGATTACTTCTAAGTTGAGCAGCAGTTTGTTTTTCGCTGGAGGGGTTGTGTTGCTTTACCCTTTTTAAAATACCTCAAAGGTGTTCTGTTGGATTCTCGTCAGGCGGCATACTTGGCTTTATCCTTCTTCAGAAACTCTTGTGTGCTATTGATAGCTACCATGCTGGAAAATTTCTGTTCTGCCAAACTTCTGCAGACTGGGAGTAATTTTGTCATCAAGTTATTAAGTATATCTGTAGGGAATTATGGTAGCATTAATACTTATCCAGTATGGATCGACTGATAACCGGCCCGACTAATTATTTAGGCCAATTTTGGGCATTTTTAAGGTATCACTAATGTATAAAATTTTAAAATTGACCCGTTGTTGCAAAATAATTTAGGCATCCTACTTTGGCTCGGATGCAGCTGGCTATCTTTCTCTACAGTCACTCTGTGGGTTCAAGCCATGTCCCGCCCACAGCTCTATCTTATTGGCTGTATGATTACAGACTGGGACTGACTGACTGTGCCTGTTACACAGAAAAGACCCCCTCAAACGTCAATTAGGACATGGGAAACACTTTTTAAAAAAAATAATTTAATATACATTTAACTTTTAGTTTTTTTGCTGTTTGATGGGGACAGCTGAAGAGACACAGGAAAAGAAGGAGAAAGAGAGCGGACGCCTTGTAGATAATGTCGCTTGACTTAAAACAGAAAAACATTTTTTTCCAAGTCTCCTACATTTCCATACAATGGAGTTGGGACATATTTAGACCTCTACACTTTTTGCACAGTTCACTGAGCTGTAAATTTCAAAATCTCACCAAAGTATACTCAATAACCCATAACAACAAAGAATATAGATGTAGGTAATGCAGTGGAGAAAGACAGGAGATGTTAGTAAGACATGCAGTGAGTGTCTGGCTGGTCAGCAATCAAACCAACGACTCATTACTTGATTACATTTGCACCTACATAGTACGCGCCCTAAACCACTTTGCTATTGGGTCATTCCAGTCTTTTGAATCTAAAATATCTCATTTACAAGAATTCAGGCCCTTTGCTGTGGTACTCCACATTGTGGTTAGGTCATTTTATAGTGTTTCTTTTATTCTTGAGATGAACTTGACAGGACTCCACCTATGACAAAGTAAATTCACTGGATATATTCCATAGGAAAAGGTACACAGCTGTGTATATAGGGTCCCATTATTCACACTGTATGTAAGGACAGAAACCAACCCATGAAACCACCAGGACTCCTTCTAGAGTTGTACATTCAGCTTAACCAAGTATCCAGGCTAGTAGGATCTTGGTGAAGGAGCTGACCAACAACAATACACAAGTGGCTTTGGGGCAAGTCTCTGATTGTCCCCGAGTTATATATTGTGTCAAAGAGCACATCTTAACTCCTTTAACCGAATCCATGCTTCTCTCTCTTGCATATTTGCCTTTTCTCTGAACCGTATTCTGACATGATGCCTGTTTCTGATCCAGCCGAAATATAGCTCAAAGCTCACCTCACAGTCTATACAAAAATGATTTACTGACTGCAGAAAAAAGGCTTTTCCATGGTCATCACAGCCAACTAAGTTCATTGAAATTCTGTGGGAGGAGATGACGAGGAGAGTCGATAGGATGGACTTCAACATTTTAAAAAATTACAGAGATTCTTTATGAAGGTCTCAGATAAGTGCCACATGTTTACCAACCTAATCGTGCATTACAGGAAAATATCTACAGCCGATAATCTTGGCAAAAGAAACTTGCACAAAATATCAAATGAAGGGGTGCCATTAAGCACCATTTATATCACAATTGAATATTTCGCTCAATCAAAAGCAAGATTTGTGTAAATATGTTTTGAAAGATTATGAGGATAAACAAATAAGATGCTGATGAAGATATTTCTGGTGGGGTCTGTACCTGAAAAAGGATTTTCCAAGCTCATTATTTACTGACAGAAACTGTGACGTTGATGAATGTTTGATGATGGTTTATCTCTCCTCAGGTGAAAGATAAATGTGGTGACCTCTTCGTAAGACCTTCGTATACTATCAGGAGCTCATGATACTATTTCCTTATATAGTGAGAAGGCTCTAATGCTGTGTAGTCTAAGGGTCAGCTGTCACCAATCTAACTGCAGACTGATAGATGTCACACAGATTGTATTATTAGTGACATGCTGTTAGACTTCACAGAAAGATGAGTGGACACAGACCTTTACAACGCACTACAGATTAGAAGGAATGCTGTGTCAGCATCCTCAACACCGCTCCTGTTTGTGTGCAAATGCATCATCAGCATTTGCTGACGTGCAGTTTTAGAGCAGAGTCACAACAAATCAGTCAGAGAATGTTTAGTGTGTCACTTTAATATGTCATAGTGCAAACTTGACAAGAATGTGTGCCTGTGCCTGGACTGTGCTGTGAATGGACAACAAAGGATGAGAAGCATGCGCACACACGAGCGCATTCATATGCACGTACACACAGCATGCTCAGGACACAATTGTTAGTGCGCACATGTGTGCTTGAGTGTGTGATTGTATGTCTACCGTTGTGAGGTCAAGTCTCTGTTGCCATGGTTATCGAGTAGAGTAAAAGGGAGACACCCTTGTGTCACTGAAACTCTGGCTTTAAGCTTAAAATACCTTGCTAAGCCACAAACATCTCATCCAGGCCCCTGGAGACTACAGTATGTCCCCGAAGTGAGTTTCTCCAAATATTTTATTATATGTTATCATGTGACAACACTGAAGAAATGACACTTTGCTACCATGTAAAGTAGTCAGTGTACAGCTTGTACAACAGTGTACATTTACTGTCCCCTCAAAATAACTCAGCCATTAATGTCTAAACCGCTGGCAACAAAAGTGTGTACACCCCTAAGTGAAAATGTCCAATATTAGTAGCTATGTACAGACTGTGCATGGCTAAAATGCACAAGGAGTCTAACAATGTTTCCAAAGAGTAGGCAAACTCAAAATATGCAATATTTAAGATCTGTGTATACGATGGAGTAGTGGCATTAGAAAGCGTCAGACCAAGAAATTTGGGCTTTTAGGGCCAAGACTTTTCTCCTAGGACCCACTGGCTGGCTGCTACATATCCTTGTTAAAAGCCTGAATTAACTTGTTTAACCTGCTGCCACCAGGACCTAACTGCAGAAAAAAATCTGACACTACTGGATTAAAAACATGAAGTCAAGTAGAACATAAACTGAAAATCCTCAACATGTTGTCAAAAACAGGTGCACTGCAGGTTCATAGACTATCCTGAGAGTAGCTGTTGGGATCACAGGCGATACCAAACTAAAGTTCTATACCGTACCCAGAGTTCTGTACAGTTCAGGGAAAATACAGTTACACCCCCAACAAATACATACATGCGCAAACACAGTGGTATCTTGCAGTAGCACAGCTCACCAGTGGAATATCAACAGAGCAACTGAATAGAGTGAGTCCTTGTAAAGAGACGAGCAGTCAGTGGGTCCGAGCTTGTTTACTCCCATCTAGCATAGCTGCACCGCTGAACTTGTTGCCCTGGACCACTGTGTGTGTGTGTGTGTGTGTGTGTGTGTGTGTGTGTGTGTGTGTGTGTCAAGAGGCCCATTTCTAGGGACGTTTCAACAGATGTATACAAGTAATTACCATAATGAAGTTGTCTTGAAAAACATCAAAAAGTGATAAAGTGAAAAAGCTTCTGTATTGTCTTTACAAACAAGGACTTGCTTTAACCAGTGGGAGGCAAAGCACACCGAGTTGACTGACACGTGCAGTAAATACAGTTTTAATGACCACACGCCTGACAGTAGTGACTGGCTCATACTGCACCTTAAAGCTACCGTTCTCATGGATCTGTGGATCTACCCTGGTAGAGACAACTCTACGTTAGACTAAACAAAATCTAAACTTGTGTGGTCTTGACATCCTGATAAGAGAAAGCCCTAGAGGGAAGCATGGGTGGTATATTATTCATTTCAGAATTCTTCAGCAGGCTGGAGCTTTAAAAAACTCCATCTGCATGCATCCTTACCATAGATAAACTCTTACAAGTTTATCTTTAGGGGACAGAGTCCACCTCAGTCAACACTAAAAATCAATTCACATGCTCAGAAAGGACACACGACAGTCCATTCTGTAAGTACTGAGTGCACTAAATTTCCAGATTGGACAACAGTTGGCCACCAACCGGCATGAGTAGCCAAGATGATTTAACCAAAACCGAAACCAGTGGGCCATTCACTGCTGTAGATATAGTGATGATGTACACTGGGCAACAGTATAGCTACAGAATACAGCTGAGAAATGTATCACCATAAACATTTTCACTTGACTTGATAGCTTTTAATGGATAATTTTAAAACCTGTTTTTAATAAAGAGCAGGAGAAGCAAGGTTTCATTTGGATTTAACCGATTTAGCTTGTTGATTAAAAAGGACACAGGCGATCATTTCAAAAACAATTACAAACATTTAGACACATACATGGAAACAAATATTATTTCACTGTGTTATGCATTAAATAAAGAAAACCAGCAGAACGTGGAGGCGCCGGGAGGATGAAGCCACCACACTGAGGTCAAGGTTCTGAAGGGGACCACACATTGCTTTCCATCATCCGGCCACCCCACTCTGCCAGTGTGGACAGGGATGATAAGAAGCACAGGCTGTGCACACCCCGGACACCTTCGAGGAAGCCATGGGGAGAGTGATGGCGACTAAAGAGGCTCCACCATAGACTGTATAAAAGATGGACGTAGCTACCGTGACGTCACCCATTGGTTTCTGCACTGAGAAAATGAAGCCAGGGTTTTGCTACTTCCTGGTTGACATCTTGGATTTTTGGAGCCAGTG